ACGTCATTAGTTTTGCTACTAATAGTTCTGTCCCATCAAATGGAAGGTCTTCAGTTCTGGCTTTGGTTTCATTCATTCATGGGGGTGTCTTGTATGACATTAGTTGGGTTGGAACTGGCATATGGATCTCAATTAAGGTCCTTGTAGTAGGTCTCAGGGAAGAAATAGGAGGATGCACCATCAGATCCAATCAACAAGATGATGATGAGGGTTGATGACAAGGTGGTGTGGTGTTCACCCTCTGACAGAGCCAACATTGGAAAGTGGCCTGATGGCAAAGGGGTTCTCAGAATCAGCGAGCATTCAGTGACAAGTCTGAAGGAAGGCCATGTCAGAAGCATGGCCTTGGATGACTTCAATGATGCCTTGTCTGCATGTTTGTGCTTGTTATGGGCCTTTTGAGGGGAAGGCTCCAAAGCACTTCTCCTGGGAGATACTGGGGTGGAAAGTAAAGGTAAAGGTTCCCTTGCTCGAAAGCCAGTCGAATCCAACTCTAGGGTTGCGGTGCTCATCTCCGTTTCAAAGCCGAAGAGCCAGCGCTGTCCGAAGACATTTCCGTGGTCATGTGGCCGGCATGACTAAACACCAAGGCGCACGGAACGCTGTTACCTTCCCACCGAAGTGGTACCTATTTATCTACTTGCAATTTCTTGCTTTCGAACTGCTAGGTTGGCAGGAGACTGGAGTGGTAGGGGACCCTTTTTGGTATTGTGACTGGAGCCAAGGGCTCTGAAACCAGTCTTGGACCTCTTGGAACCAACAAGGATCAGATCCATCCCTCCAGATTTGGTCTTGGTATTGTGCTTGGATGATTGTTGGAAACAGTGCCAGACAAAGCTTTTTTCCCCATAGAGAAGCTTTCAAACACAACACCTTGTCATATCTCATTTTAGGAGGCTTTTTAAATCAGGACTGTTCAGCCCTGCTAACTGCTAATTCTGTTTTAGCCAATTACATAGAGAATTCACCCTTCAGAGATTTATGACAGGATTTTTACCTCAACTCCTTCCTTTTTTATGTAGAGAATTTACACTTGAAAGACTTGTGACAGATTTCACACCAACCCCTAGTACTGACTGGAGGGGCATGACAAATGATTGATGGAGGCCTTTTTGTACCACCTTGGCTACAAATTGCAGCAGATATGGTTTTCTAAAGGCAGAAGGAAGTCTGAGGGCTGCAATTTTCCTCAAATGGAGCTTAGAAAGGAGGAATCTCTCTCCACAGTAACAGAGAAAGAACTGAGGGAAAGGAGCTCTGCTCCCTGCTTTTATATTAGAAAAGGTGGGAAAGCAGCACGGAGGAGGGGAAGGAGCACCCTCTAGAATTCTGGAGTTTCAAAATCTCTCCATGGCAGGTCTGCATGTGCACAGTAACTCAGGAGAGACTGCACAGGTACCATGATGATGACCATCAGGTGACTTCACACTGCCAATACTAGCAGGGGGAAAAGGAGACACATTGCAGTAGTTTCAGAAGGGCCCCCTAAATCAGTGTCTTATACTCACTTAGCACAAGTTTAACAACCACCCAAAACAACTTTAAAGAATAAGTATCTATTTGGAGAAGGCTGCTTCCTGCTTCACTTCGCCAGATCAGATACATCCAAGTACACTGGTTTTAATGGAGCAACATGAGACGCACCAGGCACAATCTAAACTGATCTACTTAGAAGTAAGTCCATGTTATTCAATAGCGCTTAGTCCCAGGAAAGCGCCCTTAGAAATGCAGCCTCCATCTGTGATTGTCATCCGATTTCCTCCATACAGCACTTTCTAGCAGCCAGGTTTTTGCGGAATCAGGACGCTTTTTGCCCTGCCTCCAGTCCTCGTTTGCTGACCGCTTACCATCACGTGCGCTTCCAGCCGCCTGCAAACCTATCGCCAAGCAGGAAGATTACAGGAAGCTGCCTATTCCCCCCTCTGCGGCGAGGAAGGGCTCGGTGCTCGCACATCTGACGCAGCCCACCATAAGGGGCGGGGCATGACCGGGTTTACAAGTGCCGTTAATCGTGCAATATGGTGCAAATTACGGTGGTCGACTGCTTTTCAGTGGTGCAAACTAGTGAGTGAATGAACTATTTCTTTCCCCCCCCTTTGGGACAGTTTCGCCCCCTCTCCCTTTATATTAATGGCTTGGGCTGGCAGGTGGGTTTAACGGTTGTGAAGGGACCTGAGTCAATCGGTGGGACGAAATCCAAACTGAGTAGTTTGATAGACACCACCGGATGAACCAAGCCTTCCAAGCCTGGGACGGGCACAGGTTATAGGACGGCCCCGAATCCAAAGGAGATGCAAGCAGTTCTTATCTGCGGACTCCCGGGGGCTACCGTTTTGCAACAGATTATGCGATCGGCTTGTGGTAGCGTAAGAAGCGTACTTAAAAAAACCAAAGCGCCTTAAAATAAGGGACACAGTCCGATGATAATACATGCTGACTCGGCAGTAAAGTTTAATGGAACGTCCTCCCAGGGAAGCGTGCATAGGATTGCGGCCGTAATCACTTTAAATGCTAACTGGAGAGGAGGGGAGGATTTACTAGTGGGTAACGCGGTTCTTGCTCTGTGTATGAGGGAGTGGGAGGGCGCCGCGGAGTTCTTATGCGCAGCCCGGCTAGGCAGCCATTTTTGCTCAACCCGAAGAGTTGGTAACAGAATCGAAGTGCTTGGCGGGTGTGGCCCCTGGGTGGGCGTGGCGCAGTGAGCCGAGCGGGCCTGCAGAGGCTGCTGGCCACTGTAGAATGCGCTTGGCGTTGTCGTGGGGCCATAAAATGCGTGGCTCTTGGCGGCGGCGTCGCCGCACCGGATGGGGGAGTAATTAATTAAGACCGGCGTTTGCTCTCCCGCACCTCCTAAAGCAGATGTGGCGGTCTACAGGATGGGAAACTAGATGCCACCAGCGGGGTATACATATTCTTAATGTAGCAAGTAGTCTGTGTTGCTGAACTATTTCCTCCGAGTGCATTTCTCTTGTCAATAAGAAAAGCCATCATTTAAAGGGAAGTTAGCGTCATACTATATGTGACTTGTGCTTCATGTGCACCTGTGATACTATCCTAGCTATTGTTTTACACACACAGGTTTCAATCTTGTGCTCTTATTTGTAAATATAATGGGAGGAGGGTCTGTGGCTCAGTGGTAGAGCATCTGCTTAGCATGCAGAAGGTCCCGGGTTCAATCCCCAATAAATCCAAAGGATCTGCACTAGGTAATGTGAAAAACCTCTATCTGAGATCTTG